TATTTTGGCTAAGCAGCTTTCCAAATAGCTCAGATTCAAGTCCATGATTCCGCAGAGAACCCATCCAGACCTCCATGGAGCACGAGAAACACTTACAGTGACCATCCACCTTACAGACACTGGTAAACAAACTGAAGTACTTCCTGTGTAGAATGAGTTATATAGGGGAGGACTTCCTCTCTGATTGGTTGGTCAGTGTCCATTCACCTATAGGTGGCATATAATCCACAGTCATGAATAGCCTACTCTGTGTCCCGTGATGTACGATAAAGAAATTTATTTCCTAGAGTTTAAAAGCTTCCCTACAGTCGTACGTATATATATGGCCTTGTATGGAAGCGGTTATATCGGGATCATGGCTGAGGCTACAACCATGGTCCTGGTATAATTTTAAAGCCCCAGCGATTCTCTTGACTAAAAGAAGCCCAAGTGGCTCAAAAACTGCTGGACTACTTTTACAGGTGGAAAAAGGAGGTCCTACCCCCCTCCTGCCGCTGCCTTTACTAGGCTCTCCTGAGCAACGGAGGAGCCTGGAAAGAATGCATCTAGCCCCGGGCAAACAGTGAGAGGAAATGAAGTTGTTCTTACCACTGTGTGACGTCAGAAATCAGAAGCAATTCTGCTTTTGGCACGGTTAACTGGCCAGTTACCAGCAACTGAAGTAGCCGATCAGACCAATCTGTGTCTGATCAACTGCATTGGAGGCCAGAGGAGAGATCTGGGGTCTAATAGACCCCCAATCTCTCCATAAAAAAGTACCTGTCACTGCCTATTACTGTCACAAGGGATGTCACGCACAAAGGTGAACACACACCTCTGTTCTGCACACATATGTAAACAGTGATCAAGTGTGCACAATTTTAAAGCGCAACATGTTTGGTATCTATTTTACTAAAAAAATTGGTATTATATGGTCTACATTAAAATTAAAGTGTCTTTTTTCCCTAAAAAATTGCATCTATAAAACCACGGCGCAACTATCATGTCACATACAAAATTGCAAAACCCATTATTTTATTCCCTAAGGCCTTTGCCCCTAGAAAATATTTTACCTCTCTGTTCAAGGTAATTTTCTAGCAAAAAATGTAGGACAGAAATCAGAATTAGCTCAGTAGGAAAGTGGTTACAGGTATGCAAACAAAACTGGCAAAATTCAAAGGGTGATTTTTATTAGGTACCTTTATTCAGTAGGTACCTTTTTCTAATTTAAGCCAAAAATGTATATATTGTAGCTTACCAATCCTTAAATGTGGTGGCTGCATTAGTTTTCTGTTAGGCTTTTCCCTCTGCTTTCAACTGGTAATTTAGCCCTGTATTAAAGTGCCCCCACACTGAATGGAGCACAGGGGTGACCTTTGGAAAGCAACATTGTCAGTCTGGTGGGAGGGGCCAAACTACACATGACTCTATAGCAGTGGTTCTTAACCTGGGGTTCGATCGAACCCCAGGGGTTCGGTGAGTCAGTCTCGGGGGTTCGGCGGAGGTGACCCACACCCGACTCATATGATTTGTGATGACATGCCCAGTGGTCGGCAAGCCGCGGCTCTTGTGTGCCGGGCGCCCGCTCCCCTCCCTCCTCTCGGGCGGCAGGGACTCAAATGCAATGATTGGCCAGTCTCGCTGCCACTCACATCCTGATAGCCAGTGATTGGCTGTCAGGATGTGTGTAGGCGGGGCAGCGTGACGAACGTGAGAGGAGCTAGGCTCCTCTCACAGTCCGCCCTGAAGACCGGAACGGCGCGGGAATACAGCGAGAGGAACGCGCGGAGCAAAGGTAAGTGAATTGACACAGGGGGGACTTGGGGACTTAATATGGGGGATGAATTAATATGGGGAATGAATTACTATATGGGGGGTGAATTACTATATGGGGGGTGAATTACTATATGGGGGATGAATTACTATATGGGGGATGAATTACTATAGGGGGGATGAATTACTATAGGGGGGATGAATTACTATATGGGGGATGAATTACTATAGGGGGGATGAATTACTATAGGGGGGATGAATTACTATATGGGGGATGAATTACTATATGGGGGATGAATTACTATATGGGGGATGAATTACTATATGGGGGATGAATTACTATATGGGGGATGAATTACTATATGGGGAAGGAATTACTATATGGGGAAGGAATTACTATATGGGGAAGGAATTACTATATGGGGGATGAATTACTATATGGGGATGAATTACTATATGGGGGGATGAATTACTATATGGGGGATGAATTACTACATGGGGGATGAATTACTACATGGGGGATGAATTACTATATGGGGGATGAATTACTATGGGGGATGAATTACTATGGGGGATGAATTACTATATGGGGGATGAATTACTATATGGGGGATGAATTTTCATACCGTTTGTTACAACATATCTTTGCGAGCAATCCTTTTCGAGGATGCTGGACATAAAGACGAAGAAAAGGAACAGACTTTGTTGCGAAAATGACATGAGAGTGGCACTTGCCAAGGTAATGCCGCGCATTTCTGAACTGGCCTCTGAAAGACAACAGCAGAAGTCACACTGATTTGCGGTAAATATTCATTATTTTTGTTTTTGTGTGAAAATCATGTTTTAATGGTTTTGTTCTTTGTTCTTAATGGTTTTGTTCATTTTGTGCACCTATGTATAAATATATACCTATGTTTTGAATTTTAAAAATCATATTTTATTTTTTCCAATTAAGAAGGGTTCGGTGAATGCGCATATGAAACTGGTGGGGTTCAGTACCTCCAAAAAGGTTAAGAACCACTGCTCTATAGTTACACAAGCAGTTACGGCAACAGTTTGTTTTTTGGGGGAATGAAGGCTTTACATTAATTAAAAAAGATGAACACTGAAAACACCCGTCAGTGGTAAATGGCTGGGCTCAGCACAAACTGCTACATTTGCAGGGGAGCCTGTTCTGCTTAAAAAAAGAACCCCCCCCCCCCCCCCCCCAAAAAAAAAAACCCAGGCCAACTGGCTGCTGGATGAAAATAAAGCCTAGAACAAAATCTGATGCAGCCATCCCATTTAGGGGGGGGGGGGTATAACTCCAATGGTGGAGAAGGATCTGGGAGTTCTGGTAGATCACAAGCTTAATAATTGCATGCAATGCCAAGCTGCGGTTTCTAAAGCAAGCAAAATCCTGTCTTGTATTAAAAGAGTTATAGACTGCACAGAGAATGCAGAGAATGTGTTTTCACACAAATGGAGCTTTCGTTTGGTGGTATTTAATCACCACTGGGTCATTCTCTGCTAAATGAACAAAAAAAGACCAAACATTAACCCCCCCCCAAAAAAAAACTAATCCGTGTATGTTTAGTCTGTAGGAAAGTTATAGAATCCACAATCTATGGTATATATCTGAAAGTCGATCAATCCTGATGTACTTATGGCCTATCATTTCTTGAGGCCCAAAAATGAAAAGACAGTACAGATGTCCCCCAAATGACCAGTTTTGGAAAGTAGACAATACACGTATTTAGTAAGAGGCATGGAGAGTTAGTTAAAGTTGTAATTTTTTGAACATATTTCTTTTTGAACACTGTCACCAGTGCAGTATAGCGTCATCATATAAATGGTGTGGCGGTGATCAGGGACACTGACTGGTGACAGTACGAGAAAAAAAAAAAACAAAATTTGTATATTTTCTTTTCATTATTTTTAAAAAATAAAATATAAATTTATTAATTATTAATAATTTATAAATAAATTTATAAAATTAATTAAATATTAATAAATAAAAATAATAATTATAATAATTATTATAATAAAAAAATTTAAATATTAAAATTATTATTAATAATAAAATAATATTATTTAATATTAATTAAAAATTATTAATTTATTATAAAATAATTATTAAATAAGTTAAATATAAAAAATTTAAATAAAAATATATTTATAATTTTAAATATTATTTATATTATAAATATAAATATATTAAAAAATGTAATAAAAATAAAATATAAATTTTTATTTAATTTAAAATATATATTAAATTTATATTAAGTTAATATAAAATAAATTTAAAATATTATCTTTCTTTATTACATTTATTCGCTTTACAATTTTTTTTAACACACGGTGACCAGAGCAAAATTATGTTACCATAGTAACATTGTACTACTCTGGGAAGTGTAAACCTTTTTTTTTTAACATTATAATTGCTCATAGCAGTGAATTTCACTGCTATAAGCAAACATTTTATTGAATTAAATTTAATTCAGTTTGTTTTGTTGTGCTTAGCTCTGATTGGCTATAGCTAATCACATGGTGCAGATGGGCTGTGATTGACCCTGTCTGTACCATGTGATCACTGTGACCAATCATAGCCAACACAATTCTAACAATGAATGGCATGAATCAAAGCCATTCATTTACAATTGTCATGTGTTCTGCTGTGACTGGTCATAGTGATCACATGGTACCGGCGGCAGGCCGGTACACTAATCAGTCATAGGCTGTGTCCGATACACAGCCTGTGACAGATCACAGATGCGCATGAGGCTCCCTCCAAGAGGACGTCAAACGATGTTCTCCCAGAACAATGAAACTCTGGCCCCACCATTAGACTGCTATATAGGCCAAGCTTCAATGCATTAGAAGACTAGTCTTTGACCTGTCCCTAAGGTGGAATTTCTTGGAATGGTGCACAAACAAGATGCCCAACCATGCCACCTCTATATAGATTACAGTACCAGCTTATGCAGCTGCTTCGTACTGCTACCATCCAAACACCACTCATTACATAGTGATGCCCCTGAAGCCTTCTAGGACATATTTCTCAGGTAAGCACACAAGCCTATGAAGTACTGCAGAAGGCTGTATCCTTCTCAAGACCAGCCGTATACAAAAAGATGCAGTCACATTGCATCATTCATATAATAGGTGTTTTTTTTTCTTTTTACGTCCCAATGAAAAATCTAATAATGCAAGGATTTTCTGTTTTAGGATGACCTGGAGTTTAGCATTATTGAGGAACTATATTTTACCTGGTTCCACTGGTACATGTTCTCAAAGCACTTCACATGGATCATTTCACGATGTTTCTCCTTTTGAAACAAACTTTGACAAAGAAAAAAGTTGAATTAGTACAAATTTCTCATTTTATGTGCATTTTGATCTGAGGCAGCATTTTGTATGAGAATGTAAGGGTTGATGCCCTAAACTAGTGGTTCCCAGCCTCAGTCCTTGAATACCAACAGATCATGTTTTCAGGATTTTCTTCACCTTGCAATGTCAATGGCTTGGAATTTATGTCAGCTATTGTATCTAAGGGAAATTCCCAAAAGATGGTCTGTAGGGAGTACCTGGTTGTAAACCCTCACAAATACAGATTAAGTGACTAGCTTGAGGTAATACACAGAGATGAGACAAATCCTCTTACATAGGTTTTACATGTTTATCGCTAGCCCTTTCTCCTCTACATCTGTTCAAAGTGCAGAATTTATACAGCTCATCTGAGATTCCAGAAAGCAGGGGGCACGGAGATGAAATTACACTTTGCAGAGCTTAGTGTGGGTAACATGGAGAGCCAATTGGAGAGAAGGGACACACTCTCCAGAACTGAGGTTGTCAATCACAAGCTGTGTCCTGCACCTTCCGCTTCAGTCACTTTTTTTACCTCTTGGTGCAAGGAAAACCTGTCTGAAGTGACTCATGCAGATAAAAAGAGGAATGAGGCAGCAGACAGAAATGCCACTTAGTGCTCTTAAATGAAACAAGCACACACTATAGAGGGGTAAAGCTTGTTCACCGTTAATGTCAGATGTTTGCAACCACTAAGCTGGGAACCACTGCCCTAAAAGAAACCTGTGATGAAATAAGTGTTTGAACTACCATTACTGATCACTGTGATAATTTTGCGTATAGATACGGACGCTGACAATCATATTTGATTCATCCTCCAACTATCCTTCTCACTCCATCAAGTCCCCCCTCCCCTTTGAATGGAATGTGATATGTCTGTGTGTGCACTGGGGTCACAAGTGCATAAGGCACCCCTGGATACGCTTCATGGTTGTAACCCCAATTAAGCCTGGTTCCAGAGGGTCTGACAAACACTTTCATCTGCCCGGTCTTAAAACTATAACTCAGTTGTCACTTGACATGAAACATTATCTCAGAGTGGCCATAAAACGTACATCCCACTTGAATCACTTTTTCATACAAATTCATAAACTTCAACAGGAACAGAGCACATTAAAATAAAGCATATATTCAGATAGGTCATTTTTATACGAGTCACCTGACACATTACATCCCTATGTGGCGTCTACAAGAGAGTAGAAAGCAATATATTTTTATCTGGAATGGTAAGATATGCCATATTTGGTGTCTGGACATTCAGAATATGATTCTTCATATTAATCTGCCAGCGGCTAGGATGCTACATGTAAATATTGAAGGTTATTGACCATGGTATAAACTCGTGAGGGATTTGGTCATAGCCTGGTTCCCACGCCTAACACCCCTCCCCAAATGAGGCGATTGGCCCTTGGCTTCAGTATACACCCCCTGCTGGGACACTAGTATAAAGGCTGCCATGCCTGGAGAGAAAAGAAGAGATAGATTCTCCCTTTTAACACCAGGAACCATCTTTGGGAGAAAAGACAACCTTTTGTTTGGACACTTGGACTCTGCTTAAACCAAGGACCTCTGCAAGTATCCTACCTTCTAAAACTTCTCTTTCTTTTATCTCTCTGTTCGGTTATTGCACTCTCTCTCTCTATATATATATATATTTTTGTTACATCTTTTCTGTAAATATTTTAATTGTACCATTTTGACCTTTTTAGTAATAAATCCTATTTTCTGAATAGTATTGAAACTGTCTCTAATGCTTTTAATGCAAACTAAAAGAATCCCTGTCTCTGAAGAGTACTACCTTACGTTTTAACTCTCTGCATACATCTGTCTGCGGTGGCAGTGTGTATACAGACGCTTATTCAAACATCATAGTGTTACTGCTAAGATTTGTGAGTTTCCTCCTTCTCTGTAAAAAAGGTGGTGGTGGCAGTGTTAAGGGTTAGTTGCGTAATTAACGTGACCCAGTAACAATCGCTCTCAGGCTGCTGGCACATACATTGCGTCTTTGTGCAGGATGCAGCTGAGAGTGGCATTGTTACGCAAGTGGCAGCATGGTCTTAGATTGGCTGGTCCTTCGGTCACAAGTTGGTGAGAAGGGCTGGGGTCTGATGCCGCGCCCGTCACAATCACCATAATATTCTAGTTGCCAGGCTTCTATGTGAAACCCTGGCTTAAAGTAAAGCCCTGGCCAAAGAGCTGACACAAATAACCACTTTCCCTCCAGAGGAATTACTCCCCTTAGGGGCCAGCCATTTTTTGCGATATGGTGCTGCGTTACTTTAACTGAAGATTGCGCAGTCATGCAACGCTGTACATAATTTAAATTCATGTTCTTTTTTTCCCCAAAAATAGAGTTTTCTTTCGGTGGTATTTGATCACACGCGGTTTAAATTTTTTAAACTATAAACAAAAAAAAACAATATTTTTGACGTTTTGCTATAAAACATATCCAATAAATAAATTTAAAAAATCGAATTTCGTCATAAATTTAGGCCAAAATGTATTCTGTTCCATGTCTTTGCTAAACAAAAAAAATCCCACTACGTGCAAATTAACTGGTTTACGTAAAAGTTATAGCATCTACAAATGGCGGTATACACACACTGGAATTTTTATACTTGTAATGGCGGCAATCAGCAAGTTATATCGGGACTACGGCGGGCATTCTGTCACTGGGTGGGAACTGACTGCCACTAACATCCCAAGTGACATTAATACAGTGATCAGTGCTAATAAAAAACATTGACAATGTACGACAATGTACGAATGACACTGGGCAAGAAAGGGTCAAGTTTTGGGCGATCAAAGGGTTAACTGTGTGATGTGGGTGTTTTTTACTAAGTGTTCCATTTTACTACGGAGACATGCTACATTGTATTTCTCTGCTGTTCAGAGAAATACAAAGCAGCATGTTCTTGCTGGCAGAAGAGAGACCTGTGTTGTTTACACACAGGTCTGTTCCCTGTCAGCTGTACTCAGCGATCGCCGGGTACTGACTTCCCACTGGCGGTGCAGGAAGGGCAGAGCGCATGCCCCCTACCCAAAAATGCAAATCACACACACGTGGGAAAAAAACCTTGTCCGGAGAAGAAAAGGTGAGCGCTATGACAACAGACAACAGGAAAGCATTTGGAGACCATTCATGTGTGTGGTTGCATCTCAAGGCTCACGCACAATTATTCACATCCATGAATAAAGAATGGTACAAAAACATCCTCCAAGAGCAACTTTTCACAACCATCCAATCCTCAAGAGGCAAAAGGACAGAAACCCCCCCCCCCCCCCCATAAATTCTGACAAACTCCAAGCATTGATTATGCAAGAATGGGTTGCCGTCAGTCATGATGTAGCCCAGAAACTGATTGACAGTATGCCAGGGCAAAGTGAAGAGGTCTTGAAAAAGAAGGGTCAGCACTGCACGTTTTGACTCTTTGCACAAACTCAATGGAAAAGTAAACCTTTGGAACATGTGACATGTTCCACCCAATTTTAGGGTAGAACATGAAACATGTTGCTGAAGCTGCGCCTGCCGCCCTCCTCACTCTGACAGATAATACGGGGAGAAGCATCCCTGTGCGATCTCTCAGATTTGAAAACAGCGCAGCCTTTCGGGGGCTCCGCCCACATGCCCGCAACAGTCATTCACAGAAGTCTGTGAATGAGTGCCTACAAGTCCCGAAAGCCTTAGCGGCTGTCGCCTTGCAGTTTAAAATGAACTAGCATGGAACTGTGCAACGCGGTGGTAGTTCACTGAAGCTGTCAGTATATATGTTTGGCCGTACATCCCATATAGCAAGCAGATATTCTGACAGGTCTGCAGGAGACCTGCATAGTGTCAGTGATGTACTAATCGCTGATGCAATGCTTTCCACGCTCCTTTGGACAAAAATAATAAATTCACATTTTTTTCCTGCAAAAAAAAAAATGTGCATTTATTATTTTTGGCCAAAAGGTGAACCTATCCTTTAATGCAATTCTCAATAAAAGCCTTTGACACTAATGAAATGCTTCAGTATACCATAGTAACATCTGACAAAAAGATTAACAACTTTCTGAAAGTTAATATTTGTGTTATTCTCAAAATGTTTGACCAGGGCTGTAGTACTAAAACGCAAAACTTTTTTTTATTTATTTTGGATACAGCAAGGGAAGGTTTTAACATTTGTCAAATTTTTTTTTGCCATCTATGTCCCATTGCGTAGATTTCCCATCACTTCCTGTCCCACAGCAAAACAGGAAGTGAAAAAATCTCAGCAAATTCAGGGAATTCCTTGGGGACCCCCATGTCCCCACAACTAGTGTTCCAATTGAAAGATTTCCTCTATATTACTATTCTGAGGACAACCCAAAATTTGGGATTTTCTTTTACTTTCACATTCAATTAGATGGTAAACAGGACAAATAGAGAGGATGAATCTCCTTAACCAATTGCCCTCCTGAGGATTTACCCCCCTTCCTGACCAGGCCTCATTTTGCTATTCGATGCTGCACTATTCCAACTGATAATTGCGTGGTCATCCAAATGCTGTACCCAAACAAAATTTGCATCCTTTTTTCACACAAATAGAGCTTTCTATTGGTGGTATTTGATCACCTGTGTGCTTTTTATTTTTTGCGCTCTCAACAAAACTTTTTGAAGAAAAACAATATTTTTTACTTATAAAAAAAAATATATAGTATACGCAGTCATAAGTTTAGGCCAAAATGTATTCTGATAAATGTTTTTGGTAACATAAAATCCCAATAAGTGTATATTGATTGCTTTGTGTGAAAGTTATAGCGTCTACAAACTATGGTATTGATAATGGAATTTAAAAAAAAAAAATCTGTATTTTTTGCTAGGATATTACATTGAACCCCCAAAGAGTATATATTGTTTTGAAGCAGACATCCTAGTGAACAAAATGGTGGGTGCTGCAATTTTATGTCACATAGTACTCACACAATGTGATTTTTCAGACGCCAAATTAAAAAAA